AGTGGCAATAAAAGCAGCAAAATGTACATATTTTGCTGCTCTTATTGCGTCATCAGATAATCGCCCGGCCGCTCTGTTTAAGGTGACCCGCTACCTGCTCCACCAGGAAGCGCAGGAAGATCCCTTGGAGGGTAGAGCCGAGGATTTTGTTCAATATCTGCATGACAAAATCACTCAGATTTGGGAAGATCTGGACTCCGACTGGGTAGTTCCAGGGGGGGATGACTGAGGCAGGTCTTGAGAATGTTACCTGGGATGAGTTTGATCCTGTGACCCCTGACGACGTGGACAGGATTCTGGGTGGACTGACCGCGACATGTTTATTGGACCCGTGCCCCTCCTGATTAGTTCTGGCTTCCCGGGCGGTGATGTGAGGCTGGCTCCAGGGGATTATAAATGCTTCGTTGGATGAGGGCAACTTCCCCGCCACCTTGAAAGAGGCGGTGAAAGAGGCCTCTCCTCAAGCAGTCTTCCCTGGACCCGGCAGTGTTGGCTAATTATCGTCCTGTCTCCAACCTTCATTTCGTTGTGAAGGTTGTTGAGAGTGTGGTTGCGCGACAGCTCCCCCAGTACCTGGATGAAATGACGTATCTGGATCCATTCCAGTCGGGCTTCAGGCCTGGGTACAGCACGGAAACAGCATTGGTCGCGTTGGTTGATGATCTCTGGAGGGCTCGGGACAGGGGTTGCTCCTCTGTCCTGGTCCTATTAGACCTCTCAGCGGCTTTTGATACCATCGACCATGGTATTATGCTGCACTGGTTGGAAGAGTTAGGGGTGGGTGGCACTGTATTACGGTGGTTCTCCTCCTTTCTCTCCGACCGGTTGCAGTCTTTGTTGGCAGGGGGGCAGAGGTCGACCCCGAGGCCCCTCATATGTGAGGTGCCACAAGGGTCAGTCCTCTCGCCCCTTTTGTTCAACATTTATGTAAAGCCACTGGGCGAGATCATCTGTGGTTTCGGGGTGAAGTACCATCAGTACGCTGATGACACCCAGCTGTACATCTCCACCCTGGACCACCACAACGATGCCCTTGAAGTGATGTCCCGGTGTCTGGAGGACGTGCAGATCTGGATGGGGAAGAACAGGCTCAGGCTCAACCCATCCAAGACCGAGTGGCTATGGTTTCCGACGTCCCGATATAGTCAGTTGATGCCATTGCTGACTATTGGGGGCGAATCGCTGGCTCCCACAGAGAGGGCTCGCAACTTGGGTGTCCTCCTGGATTCACGGCTGTCTTTAGAAGAGCACTTGACGGCCGTGACCGGGAGGATTTTTCATCAGGTTCGCCTGATTCACCAGTTGCGTCCTTTTCTGGATTGGGACTCCTTACACACAATCACTCATGCCCTCATCACTTCCTGCCTGGACTATTGTAACGCTCTCTACATGGGGCTCCCCTTGAGGAGCACCCGGAGGCTCCAACTGGCGCAGAGTGCGGCCGCGCGGGTGGTTATGGCAGCAACATGGCACTGCCGTGTGACACCTGTTCTTCACAAGCTGCACTGGCTCCCGGTGGTCTTCCGGGTGCGCTTCAAGGTTTTGGTTACCACCTTTAGAGTGCTCCATGGCTTAGGACCTGGTTATTTACGGGACCGCCTACTACCACAAGCAGCCTCCCACTGGCCGGTACGCTCTCATAGAGAGGGGCTCCTCCGGGTGCCATCAGCTAAACAATGTTGACTGGTGGCCCCCAGGGGGAGGGCCTTCTCTGTGGGGGCACCCACTATCTGGAACGAGCTCCCCCCAGAAATACGGAGGATCCCGGATCTGCGCAATTTCCGCCGTGCTCTTAAGACTCTCCTATTCCAGCAAGCCGGCCTGGCCTAATCTTCTCCCCTGTTTTAAAATTCTTTTAAATCAAATTTTAATCTGTTTTAAATTATTGGGATTTTTAATTGTCTCGGGCTAAATTATTTAATCTGGTTTTAATTATGTTCTTAACTTTTGTATTTATGTATTTTATTTTGTGCCTGTTCACCGCCCTGAGTCCTTCGGGAGTAGGGCGGTATATAAATCTAATAAAAGAAACGAAAAAGAAAAGAAAAGAAACTTCCTTTTAAATGTGTGTGTGTGTGATGTAAAGAAAACCTTCAAGTCAAGCTTGAATCCTGGTAATATTCATGTCCTTTTCTTGACAATATGAAAATATTCTTTCCATATATCTATATAGATATATTATAGATATCTTCATCTTCCAATCTAGCCTGGTGTCAGCCCAATAATGTAGGACAATGCAAAGGTTACAGGTTGCTACATTTTTGTTATAGGGTATAATAACCAAATCATGAAAGCCTTCTACATTTTTTTTCACTTCCTTTCTATCAAATAGAATCAAGGTAACATTATTTTTTAGTTTTGTGGAGTACTTGGTGCTCTCTTAGCTTGATTATTTCCTTGCAGATGTTTCATTACCAAATTAGGTAACATCATCAGTACTGCCTTGAGTTTCTTTTTCATGCCTTCTGCTTTCTCAAGATTCATCTGTCTCTTATCTTAGTTTCAGTGTTCCTACTTAACCTTCTTCAAGGTTATCTCCATCTATAATCTTGGAACTGCCTGGTAGCCCCCACCCAGATAGTACCCAGGTCCAACCCTCCTGTGTTTTCAAGTCTTAGAAATGATCAACCCTATTTATTTATTATTTATTTATTTATTAGTTCGATTTATATGCCGCCCTTCTCTGGAGACTCAGGGCGGCTTACAATGCATTAAGCAATAGCCTTCATGCTTTTGTATATACCTGCTTAGTAGGGTTTTCGGACCCCCCAAGTGGTGTTCTTTTTTATACAAAGTCAGCTTATTGCCCCCACAATCCGGGTCCTCATTTTACCTACCTTGAAAGAATGGAAGGCTGAGTCAACCTTGAGCCTGGTGAGATTTGAACTTGCAGCAATTGCAGGCAGCTGGCAACTAAGTGCTACTTTAACAGCACTTAGTCCACTGCGCCACCAGGCTCCTATTTACCCCGTGACATGAGGCTATCTGCTAGTATAGATCTAGAGCTAGATCTGGAAATTGAGTTAACTGACATCAAGTAAATCAATAAATAAAGCAGATTATAACAAGTAAAAATAATGATAATGATTTGGACAGAAGAAAAATGACATGGTGACGTTACAGCCTGTGCTATAAAATTATGAAAATGACAGAGGATTAATATTTAAGGTTTTCAGCTTTTCAATAAGCAGCATTTTCTAAGTCTCTAAATTTTAAAATGTCAGGAGTCTCCTTGCATTTCAAAGTGCAATCTTGTGAATTCCTTGCTCATCCTAAGCAACTGAATAGCAGTAGAACACCCTCAAAAAAGAATATGAAAACCGAGGAAATTTAAGCAATGGAGAACAGTGAATGAGGTTTTTTTATAAACATTCAGTACTTGTTTGATTGGTAATCAGAGGGCAACTTTGCAGACACTAAATTGATTGAAACAGCTGTTTCAAACAATTTGTTGAAGGTTATCACAGAACTACAGCAATTAAAGACTGGAAAGTCCCATTAAGACATCTTGCACTCATTCCGTTACTTCTCTGAAGCCAAATTGCTTCAGATCCCTTTTAATGAAATGTACTTTGATCGCCCCTCTCATCTCCTTTCTCAAAAATCATTAATAGAACTAGTACTTTAGTATTTGCTTTTATTGAGCAATGAGCAAGTACTGATTAGCTTCATCCTGATGTAACCACTGCTGATTGTAGGAGGGAAAAAGTTTACTAATTATGAGAACTGCTGAATCTGAAGATAGTAATGAGAGAATAACACAGATGACGTCTAATTTGAGTTTGAATACGCTTCTTTACTGATTATATTTAACCATTTTGGTTAGTAAAACGCAAGAATATTGTAGATGATTATACTCTTTTAAATAACAAAGCATAGGATAATACCATTTTCTTTAAAGACTTCAAGACATCTCAGCCTTGGAATGTTCAACTCCTAATAGTTTTCAGAGTAATTGCTATTAACTAACAGCTGCTCCTAAAAATGTCTTTTATGCTTGCTAACGATGATTTTTAAAAAATAAAAATAAAAATAAAGCACATCTATAAAGAAACCGCTGCCTACTAATTTAAAATATTAAACAAAAAGGTGGAATCAAGACTGACGTTGTAGTCAAAGTTTACTCATCCTTCCATCTTTCAGTAAAATGAGGACCTAGATTGTTGGGGGCAATATGCTGACTCTGTAAGAGAGGGCTGTAAAGCACTGTGAAGCAGTATATAAGTCTAAGTGCTATTGCTATTGTAAAGAATAAAGCTGGGGATTGAGGAACCATACTAATTCTCACACTAGACAGAAAGGAGAACCAACAGCTGGATCAAGGCTCTCACAAGTTCAGCCAAGTTGTCTTGTTGATTCTGGAAGAGGAAAACACCTAGAATTTAAACTTGGAGCATAGAATATATAAGGACTTTGATTTCTTTGCACTACAATAGAAAATTTGTGTAAGTGTATACAGCTTCTTTTCTGTCTGCAGTAAAGAGATTAATTTCATTCCAGTCATGCCCATTAGCCTTTTGTCACATAAGCCAATTCCTTTGTAAGCAATTAAGGGTCTGTGCAGCTGAATTTAAAGCCATACCTTTGTAATGCCTGACATCAACATTTGGCACATGCCAGCCCAAGTGACTTTACATCTGATTCCCAGCAAACGCTCTTCTAAATCAACTACCTGTGTAGCATTCATTATATCTGATAGTCTTAAACACAATCCATAATGTGCTGTCCATAGCAAACTTAATCAAATCAAATCGAATAGAATTCTTTATTGGCCAAGTGTGATTGGACACACAAGGAATTTGACTTGGTGCATATGCTCTCGGAGTACATTAATCACTGAATAAGCAGATAAAATAATTCTGGAAAAGGAATATAACAAATTCTCAGGGTTGAAGCTCACTATAAATCCAATCTATATTCAAAACAAAACACTCTTCTTAATGTTTCATTTTATCAAGTAAATCAGATCTATATCTACCTTGTTTCAAATTTCCACTCACCAACAATCTCACTTGGCTCTTTGTTATAGAGTTTCTTATTCCAGTAAAGTAGCCGTAGAAAAGGAAAGGAAACCAGAAGTACAAGACAAATTCCAATAAACATATGCCCCGTAAATGCAGCAAAGTCCAACCCCTAGAAAAAAATACAGTTGAAATACAGTCAGTTACAATGGTTCTACTCAGTGAAAATGGAAATCAAAAATAGCATCTGCTGTTTTAGGTGATCGGACTATCTTTTTAATAGCACATTTAAGGTCATGTCTCTCTTAGAAGAAGTGCATCTTAAGGTGAGCTCTCAAATTCCACTTACAGTCTGTCTTCCCCCACCTAGCTTTCCATTGCAGGAAATGTGCCCACCATTTCTGATAAAAAATGGCTGCCAAGTGAAAGAAATTTAGAATATTACTTTTTACACACACACACACACACACACACACACACACACACACACACACACACACATTGTTGCACCAAAGCACCTCCTTCTTGGTCGGTTACACTATCCTGGAAGATAGTTTAAGATAGCATTTGTCAGTGTATCGTGATGAATTGGCTTAAAAAATAGCTTTCGCGTCCCGAGTCTTTAAAATATGTTTATGAGATCAAAAGGTAAAGTTGGAAGACAAATTATAATTAATAATTTTAATCTTTCTAAACCATGAACAAAGTAGAAGATAGTAATACAAAGTCACTTCTTGTGAGATGAATGGCCATATAGATTAGTAAGTAAGTAAGTAAGCAAGTAAGTAAACAAACACATACATACATACATACATACATACATACATACATACATACATACATAAATACATACATATATACGTACATACAATACCATTTTTATAATACAAATAAGTGGATATAGTTTTCAGTTTTGGAAAAAAACACAATTTAAAACAGAACCTATTGCAAATCAGTTATGTTTGTTAATAAAGCACATTCTTATTGTCATACTGTAACAAATTGTAGCAAATCTAAATAGATTCAGTCACTATGCACTATATTTTTAAATCAAGTATGACTCAGTAGAGGTACATCAAGAAAGTTTTATACTAAACACAAGTACAGGTAGTCCTTGCTTATCAACTGCCTCATTTAATGACTGTTCACAATAACAACTATTTGGAAAAAACAGTTTTGCAACCAATTTCTACCAATTGCAATGTCCCATGGTCACATAATTGCTATTTATGTGTTTCTCAACTTCTGAGAAGCAGACTTAATAGAGAACACAGAAATGAAATCACAAGTCACAATCACATGATGACTCAATAAACTATGGCAATGATTCACTTAGTGACCAAAGCAAAAGGGAGGTCATAGATCCATTGCAGACACATGATGTCGACTGGCGGCCCCCGGGGGGGGCTTCTCTGTGGGGACACCTACTATCTGGAACGAGCTCCCCCCAGAGATATGGAGGATCCCGGATCTGCGCACTTTCCGCCATGCTCTTAAGACCCTCCTATTCCAGCAGGCCGGCCTGGTCTAATTTTCTCCCCTTTCTTTTAAATTTTTTAAACTGAAATTTTAATTTGTTTTTAAATTATTGGGAATTTTAATTGTCTCGGGTGAAATTATTCAATTTGGTTTTAATTATGTTTTTTAACTTTTGTATGTATGTGTTTTAATTTGTGCCTGTTCACCGCCCTGTGTCCTTCGGGAGTAGGGCGGTATACAAATCTAATAAATAATAATAATAATAATAATAATAATAATAATAATAATAATAATAATAATAATAATAATAATGATGATGATGATGATGATGATGATGATGATGATGATGATGATGATATTTCACTTTATGAATGTGGTGCCTAGCAATCAAGTTGCCAGTCCCAATTGTGGTCAGTAAGTAAGAACTATCTGTACAATGTTGCCTAAAAGAGCTGCATGTGCATCAAAACATATTCAGGAGTAGTGCTTCAGAACCTGTAAGAATGCATGAATAAGTACTTCTGTAAAACAGCCATATATTGGCACCTGAATATGCATCACTATTTTAATGAGTCATATCAATGATATGCTACTTTAATGAATTCAATTTGTGCAGGTCTAAAAAAAGGTGTGGTTGCTTTAAAGAGATACTGTGCTTGCATTCTCATATATTCTGCAACATCTCTTGTGAGTCACTTTCAAAGCATATTAAATCCTAAAGCCAAAAAGCGAAAAGACAGTGGTTTATTTTCACACTGTAGCGTCTTCTTTCAAATTTCCTTTACTAATGTGCAGACATACAGTATGTCTGAAGTCTGTAAGTCAGAAGAATTTCCTATGGTCTATGAAGTTACCTATGACATATGCCAATGCTAAAATAATTATTTTACAAAACATTTTAAATTATATTCTGAGATCATTGACTATGGAACATAAACTATTTAACACTATTGATCCTTCCTACTGCCCCCACAATTTTACTCTGAGCTGAGATGAATTAAACTACAATTATGTAAATTAGCCACACAGCAATATTAACACTTTTTCCAATTATAAAAGGTAATCAGATTTCTTAAAAACGTACCAGTATTTGAAAGTTTAAATGTTTAATTCAGAAAAAGAAAATAGATATATTATTGGGCAATTAGAAATGCGTTATATCATGTCTTGTGCAAGATTAAAACAAACGATTTTTACAGAACTTGGTACATATTGGTTTTTTTATAGGGTTTTTATGCTTTTATCTGTAACTGCCCAGAGTCATTCTGAGAATGAGTTGAATAGTTTTTAAATTTGATAAACAAATTAAATCAATCAATCAACCAATGAAAAATCTTATGGACGTAATAAACCTTCCCATCAGCAGGCACAGTTTTGGTTATTTGCATCCCGTATAACACAATTCCAATGTATGTCAACTCAGAAATGAATTCCATTGATTCTTTGGGACTTAATCCCAAGCATGTGGATATAAACTTGAAGGCTTGATAATAAGGTAGTTACTACATATTGATGATGAGAAACAAATTGAACTTTAAGATTTGAGGAGTTTTTTGGTCTAATATTCATTTTTCTAATTTAAGTTATTCCTTGAAGAACCATTCTGACAGAGGGGAAGTGAATGTTTGGTTATGTGTAACAGTGTCAAAATGGATATGTTCTTTTTTCAACACAGTGGAATGAATGAATCAGTAATACACAGCAACATCTGTACATAGGGATTTGTTGTTGTTGTTTTAATTAGCACAGCAGAGAGCAATACGTACCATCTTCCTGAGTTCCTGATTTGAAACAATAATCACATTTGGAGGATCCCCAATAGCTGTAGCAGCCCCGCCAATATTTGTGAAGATAACTTCAGCAATCAGAACATGCCTGGGATCAAGATTGAGCACCTCACATAACCTACAATTCCACAGAGAAAATACCAGATAATATCCTTGCTGGATGACTTTTAAAAATGTTATTAATATTTCTCTTAAAAACATAACAACAAAACAGAGCCTATTAAGAGCACTCGAACTATCATACAAAAATTAAGAGTAAACTAAAGAACTAAAAACTAAAGGGATGCGGTGGCTCAGCGGCTAAGGCACCGAGCTTGTCGATTGAAAGGTCGGCAGTTCAGTGGCTCGAATCCCTAGTGCCGCATAATGGGGTGAGCTCCCATTACTTGTCCCAGCTTCTGGCAACCTAGCAGTTCGAAAGCACGTAAAAAATGCAAGTAGAAAAATAGGGAAAACCTTTGGTGGGAAGTTAGCAGTGTTCCGTGCACCTTTGGCATTTAGCCATGCCAGCCACATGACCACGGAGACGTCTTTGGACAGTGCTTGGCTCTTCGGCTTTGAAACAGAGATGAGCACTGCCCCCTAGAGTCTGGAACGACTAGCATATATGTGTGAGGGGAACCTTTACCTTTACCTTAAAGACCAAAAGCAAAAGATATCATGTGAATAACTTGAGTTTAATGTTAAGTATTAACATAGTTTGCCCTTTAATTTTTGCTTCAATAAAATTAAAGTGCAGCATGGAATATACGTGATAGGCCTTCCTTTAATTTTCCTTAAATATCTCAAGCTTCCAATTCAAAAACTGGAGAAACAATAATTTTTGTCTCAGGTTTTTTTAAAATTGAAATGGGTGGGCTTCCTGACAACTTCTGTAAAGTATAAAACATAATGGTGATAACAGAAGTTGGAGTCCAACAGTGTTGAGACAGCTACAGGTTGTCCAACCCTACTTTATAGTTTGAGGTTGGAGAAGAACAAATTAAAATGGATGTCACCAGTGGTGGGATTAAAAAATTTTCACTACCGGTTCTGTGGGCGTAGATTGGTGGGCATGGCAAGGGAAGGATACTGTAAAATCTCCATTCCCTCCCCATTCTAGGGGAAGGTTACTGCAAAATCCCCATTTCCTCCCGATCAGCTGGGACTCAGGAGGCAGAGTATAGATGGGGGTGGGGCCAGTCAGAGGTGGTATTTACCGGTTCTCTGAACTACTTAAAATTTTCACTACTGGTTCTCCAGAATTGGTCACAACCTGCTGAATACCACCTCCGGATGTCACAGAGTATCTTAAAAAAATAAGAATGTCTATGTGTGCAACAACAGTATCACTGGACTAGAACAAATTATTTTGCAAAAACATGCAACATCCATAAAACCAATTCTGACAGGTAAATTTTGCCTATTAAGGGATGTTATAGGATTCCCTTCTGGATCCAGATTTATTTCCAATTTTTCATAATGTTTTATATGAAGAAGCAATGTTGAGTAGCAGTGCCATGGAAACATGAGTGAGAACTGTGGTTTTGTTTTTTTTCTTAAACACAAGCTGTGGTCTTTTCTTTTTTAAAAGTGAGTTTGCCACAAAACCTAACAAGAAAATAAGATCATATTTCATGCATCATTGGTAAAAAGCTAAATCCCTATTGTCAGGGAATCAGGAGAATTTGCTACTAAGCTTCATCACCATGGTAATAAGAGCTTACAAAATCATTTTAAAATTGGACTGAAGAATCCTGGGAAAGACAGTAACAATAACTGGATGATTAACAAAACCATGTAAGAGAAGAAATATATAACTTATTTAAAAAGTCTTGTTTTTTAAAAAAACTATTACTATATGTGAGATGCCCACTATAATATGAAAACATTTGTTTATTCACTCATTCAAAATGTGTTCCTCATTCTATTTGGTAAGACATTCAAGGGAATAAAAAATATTTGAATCTAGAAATTGTGTTTAATATAGTGTCCAATTAAATCAACATTTCAAAGCCTATCAGAAAAAAAATTCACCATAAAATGCTAGTTTTGTCATTTCCTTAGAGTGAAAGATGGAGTTCTGCCAACTTGGTAAGAAGAAATAAATTAATTCATAGTTAAACTGCTATTGTATCAAGCAGATCTGATTGTTTAATCTTCTGTTCTCACACACTCAAATCAACAAGCAGGCAAGGGAAAGGAATCTGTAGAACATCAGCCCCCAACTAGGAACCAGTTCCATGGAGAGAGGTTTTTCCATGGACCAGAGGGGACGTGGTTTTGCATGCTGCCTGCATCCCGCAGATGGGGCTTTGCTTGTTTGTGCAGCCTGGTTTTTTAGCATGGTGCAGACTGGTGCTGGCCCGTGGATTGGGAGTTGGGGATCCCTGCTCTAGAACATGAGTGGACAAAACTTGTGAGTATGATGCCCATAATTCCTTAACATGTTGACTATGATTGATGCTGACTGAAACAAAAAACAGAAGGAAGGAGTGGGAAAATACACCTAGAAAAAGAACTGAATGAAGTAGAGTGCAGGGAGCCATGTTTGGAGTTGATATGCAAATTAAAAAGGACAGTCAATTCTTTTTTTCAATGAATGACTTTACCTCACCATTGTGTTCATTTCTAGACTATGTTTAATTCTGGAAATGATCTGGATTCAGAGACAAAAAACTGTCCAAAGAAAGGTAACACAGAAAAGTGAGGGCTATACCTACCTACCTACCTATCTATCATCTATCTATCTATAATTTATCATCTATCAATTATATATCTATCTATCATCTATCTAAGCATCTTCATTAGTTCCTAAAATGTGATGTTAGGCAGGCCAATGATACTAGATTGGGAACCTAAAATTGGAGAATACCAATAGTGGAAAATTGTTTAGATATAATCTTAGCAGAAATCTGATCAAATTCAAGAATGGTTTCCTTATATAGAACATATTACACAACAAGGCACACTTAGACTTTGTTTCTTTGAGAAAAAGAGAAACTGTTTAAAAAGGTCATCCAAATGATCCACATAGATATGAGCAATAGTTGCAGATATCTAAAGTATAGTATAAAATATGTAAGCAGAAATTAGTGGCTAGGGTGGAAAAGAGAGGGAAAGGAAGACCACTACAATGCTTTGTCCTATAATATTCTTTTTTCATCCTTTTGTTTGTAATCATCATATTTTCATGTCAAGTTTTGTTCTAATGTATATATTATGCAAAGGATTATGTACCATCAAGTCATTTTCAATTTTAGCAACCCCACAGATATATTTTCTCCTTGATTATTTTTATGTATGTGTATTCTTTTACCTTTTTGGTTTTTGCTTTTTTGTTGTTTGTTTAACCTAATTCATAAAATAATAAATAAAACCAGTGGGGAAGTATGGTTAAAAATGTAACAAAAATGTGACTACCAAATATAATCTAGGAAGCCAATTCTATTCTAAAAGAATCCAACAGATTGAGAAAAATTAACTCAGTACTGACAATACAATTAAGCAGAATTGATAGACATTGGTCCACTGGGGTGAACATTATTTTAACCCAAAGGAAAAACCAAAAAGAGACAGTTGTTAAAACAATGTTCATCTTATTAGAATCAAACTACAGATATTTGTACACAGTGGTAATCGTAATGGTAAAGGTTTCCCCCATCCAGTTGTATCCGACTAGAGGGCGGTGTTCATCTCTATTTCAATGCTAGTTGAGAGAGTTAGCATTGTCTGAAGACATTTTCCATGGTCATGTGGCCAGCACGGCTATAAACCAAAGGCACATGGAACACTGTTACCTTACCACCAAAATGGTACCTATTTAGTGTGGACTAAATGGTCACATTTAGTGTGGACTAGTGTGGATAGGAGCTGGGGCAAGAATAGGAATTCACTCCATCATGCAATGCTCAAATCCCGAACCTGGGCTGACAGCTTCAAGATTGCTGAAGCATTTCAAAAAATTACATAAACATAACAGCTCAGTATGATTGCCAGTTGCAATTTTGGCAAAAATTGGCTTGCTGATTCTCTTCCTTCTTTGATTATTCAGAATAGTTTTCATTTATTCCAGCAGAAAGATTTCAGTATGGATCTAAAGCATTGTTGTCTCTCAGCACAATACCTTGTTTCACTGGTCCTGAGAGAATCACAAGTGACTTGAAAAAACGGTTTTTATATTGCCACTCAGATAGTGAGTACATACATTGTTATAGTGCTGATCCACTGGGAAATGCTTTTACCCTGCTAAGTACTTTTCTAATATTTTGTGCCAATCACAGATTAATGCTTCCATGAAAGGACCTTTCACAACTTTCCATTTCAGAAATTTCTGCCCTTGACAAATCTGGTGAAATTAAGACAATACCACCACTTCCTTTTTTCTCGCATGGCACACAGATCTATTAACATGTCGATAACCTTGGTTGTCTGAATTAGGAGAAAATTCTTTCTTTTTAATTAGCCGATAAATCTTCAGTAATGTTCTTTGTAGCTAACTCAGTGTAGAGAATCTAATTTCAGGAGCAATTATTTTATACAGACAGATTTTAAACTATGTTTACTGGTTTTAGCTTTTGCTTAAGTATTGACCAATTTTACTGTGATTTCTGAAAGTTTGATTTTTTTTTTTATAATAAAGCAAAAAAGTAAATGAATTAAAACTTCAGAAACAGCTGTACATCTTCATCTATCTCAGAATGCTGATTTATTATTGCTAAAGGAAGGAAAACCGGGGGGTGGCTATGGAAGAGGACATGTCAGACTTCATACAATTAAAAAAAACTCCTTAGTTTCACTACAGATTCCACTTCTATTTTTATAGTATGCTATTTTACTTCTATTTATATATGCTTCGTTCATATATGACTATCTGAACCTTTTAACTCCTTGTCCAAAGTGGAAAAAATAAAATAGTAATGCAATCAAATAGATTATGTCCTGCAATACATATGACAATTCGAAAAATACCTTATAGTTACTGGAGTAAAGAGGAGCACCGTAGTAACATTGTCCAGAAAGGCTGATAGAATTGCAGCAAAAAAACAGAGAATGATAATCATGGCCCACACTTTACCTCGAGAAAGTCTATAAGCCTAATAAAAAGATGCAAAAAAATATATTAGTGAAATAGATGAAGGTGATTAACAACATGGTGCAAATTTCAACATATGACATATATTAGGGACTCTGTTGATCTCAAGAAAAGAATTGAAATTCTAGAGCAGGGATGTTAAACTCAAGGTCCAAGGGCCGGATCTGGCCCATGGGGTCCTTAGATCTGGCCCACAGGACTGCCCTGGAAACAGCGAAGGATTGGCCTGCAGGGCCTCTGCCAGCGAAAATGGGTTCCCAAGCTCCATTTTTGGCTGCTACGGCCTCCTGCAACCCTCTGCCAGTGAAAACAGAGTTCGGGAGGGCAGCCCTCCCAAGCTCTGTTTTCGCTGGCAGACGGTTGCAGGAGGCCATGGCAGCCAAAAATGGAGCCCGGGAACCCATTTTCACTGGCAGAGTGCTCAAGCCCCACAGGCAACCCCGACGTGAGTGATGTCAAGCTGGCCATGCCCACCCCAGCCCTCCAAAGGTCAGACACAACCCCAATGCAGCCCTCAATGAAATCAAGTTCGACACCCCTGTTCTAGAGAGATTTTTTATATATACTTCTTAAACTTTTGTGACTGTTTACTATAGTGTAACCTTCAATTGGGCAAAATATTCATCAAAGGGCAAAATGTTTTCAGCAAGAGCACCTCAGAAGGGCTAACTTACAGAATACTGGGAACCCATTATTCCCATAGGAGTGAAATTTGGGGAATGTTTTGTCACCTTAGTGACACTGCATGGCTGCTGTTCAACACCACTGCCACACTGCTGCAGTCAACTATGATGACATGATCCTCATGTTCAACATTATCTGACAACGTCCCACAGGTCAATGGGGAACTGCAAAGGAACTGATACGATTACCAACAGGCCTACACATCTTACCATCCTCCCATTGACAAAATCTGCTTCTGGGAAGCTTTTAAGGAGAAATGAAGAAGTGAAGAAATGGTTCATTTTCTCCAATTACCTATTGTTGCTTTTCAGAAATTAGGACCTATGGAAATTGCAATGCTATATGGGAATCAATGTCTACCTATAGTCCCTTGGTTACCACCGTAAAATTTATGATTGTTTATTATTTCTATCATAAGACCTTTTGGGCAAAAAGTAAATATTATTAAAGTTTACTTTTCAACATTTTGAAATTGTTCACAGTAGTCTAATATAGCTCCAATAGGAAACAATCATTTGTCAGTAAGTACAAAGTCTTTGAGTAATGGATTTCTCCTGATTTTCTTTTCATTTAACAGACAATTTAGCTTCTGATTTCAATTAACAACAAATTTTCAGTGATAAACCCTGAATCATAATCATAATTAAAAATAGCTACTTTCATAACCATGGTTTAAAGCAGACTTATTTATTTATTTATTGGTTCGATTTATATGCCGCCCTTTTCCGGACACTCAGGCCGGCTTACAATGCGTTAAGCAATAGCCTTCATACTTTTGTATATACCTGCTTAGTAGGGCTTTCGGGGGCCCCCAAGCAGTGTTCTTTTTTATACAAAGTCAGCTTTTTGCCCCCACAAACCGGGTCCTCATTTTACCTAACTTGAAAGGATGGGAGGCTGAGTCAAACCTTGAGCCTGGTGAGATTTGAACTTGCAGTAATTGCAGGCAGACGGTGTTATTTAACAGTGCTTTAGTCTGCTGCGCCACCAAGGCTCTTATTTCAGATACCCAATAGAAGACACTACATGTACTGTAGCTCAGGGCTGAACTGTGGCATCCTTGGTGTATTTTGAGCTTGCTTGTTGCTTGCAGACATTTCATTACCCAACTAGCTAACATCATTGGTGCTAATGAATGTACGGTTTCCTCCCTGTTTATTTCCAGTCATTTGCAAAGAGTTATGTAACACAGCTATATAGTACTAGATATCCAATATTTGACATCACCTGATGGATGAAGCTATTGTCTCAATCTTATTGAAGTTAAGTGCCATGTAAATGCTATTAACTGCAATAGAGATTAAAAATGTGTCCTGAATGTTTGACAAGTCTTCTAAAATAGTACCTCTAAATTTCATCAAATTGGTTAAGATCTTTACAAAAGAAAGGTAGCGTTTCTGTAAAGACAGTCAGCATTACTCAGAGCAGAATTGAAACAATTGAACCGAGAATGATTCAAGCACACTTTTCTGTGTAATGTACACACAAAGTATTTGTAAATACTTACCATTAGAAAAAGACTCACCTTTACTGCACAGTAATCAAAAAACCCAGTTTCAGAGAAGATAGCAACCAAAAGCATCTAGAAAGACAGAAATCTTTTAAAAGAGCTGTGCTGCTATGTTTGAATTTGTTTTACATAGGTAAATATGACTCTTTTGGAGAATCTTTCAGATGAAATTGAACGTGCCATTTTCCTTCAGTGAACTAATGTCATTAAATGAATCCCAGAGCAGATTTTCAGTGCAAATTCTTTTTCAGAGTTGAAAACAATTATTTGGGGGCTTCTTTTTTTAGAGTGGATAGGAATGTGCATCCACTTTAATGAAAGATCTTAAAACATATGAATGGTCACGGAGCGAGTAGATTATTCCTAAATCTTTCTTTTGAAAGTATTTCAGTTTTGGATAAACCCAATATTGATACAGGTTTGAATCATTCCTATGCCAGTTAAAAGGAAAATTGCTAGCCATTGGGAGGCAGAAGCTGCAACTTTGGGATTAATGCTATATTCTTGCAACTTGGTAGTACTCTACCAGTGACTTTTATTTCTCTAATATTTCAAGACTTCTGTGTAGCCAATTATGTGTTCCTTCTGCCCTTTGCCTCACCCAAATGCACTTACACTACTGAACATTTTCAGGAAAACAGGACATAGAAGGAGGACTCACTTAGTAAATGTTTCAGGTGCTACTATAAAACTCAGAAACTCTGTGTGTCTCCCCATCCTCATTTCCACAAGTTCCATTATGAAGTGAGCTTCCTCACCCATCCACCCACCCACCCACCACCAATCCATCCAATTGTCATTCGGCTATGGGCATCCTCAATCTCCACAGTCTCAGTCCCAATTTCTCTACAACCTAACCATACACCTGGTGCAACCCAAAACCAATAGGGCCAACATCCTCCCCTGGGTGCCCAATGAGGGCACCACTAATTCCACCAGGATGGTCACAGGGACCACATGTTGACTTACCAGGGGGTCGTCGTCAAAATCTACATATTCCTACATATGTACATTTGAGTATCTCTCACTCCCACTTTATCTAGCACTCTGGGGTGAAAATGCTGCTGATTCCCTGGTTTATATTCCCATAGGGAGCTACTATGGAACTAAATCATATCCAACTGTGTTTTATGCAGAAAAAGTATAGCCATTTGTTGATATTTTTTTTCACTTTAGTTAATGGAGAGATTTTTCAAAGCAGATTTATTCATTTATACATAATAATTAACTCTAATGAGAAATACCACCAGGCCAAAATCAAGACATTTAGAAACTATAAGCATGTAAAGCAAGATCTTGGACTCACAGCATACATTCTCATCTACAGTATATAGTGAAAGAATGAAGATTGCTCTTTTTCAACAACTAGCTCAGAAACAGCCATCCTTGAACTGATCCAAATTCAGTAACGTTCTAGTTGTGAATGGAGTGGCCTGCCAACTAGGAGATGATGTAGAAATAGTCTATCTCTGTAAAAGCTCTCACAAATAGAGGTAGTTAGCAATATCTTTATTGGCAGCAGAATTCAGAATAAGAAGGAGTGTAGAAACAGAAACAGATTTTCTGACTGGACCTGGCATTGCTCAACAGCTAAACTAAAAAGATCTTGGATCGTTTTAGAGAGGGAAATCAAAGCTAGGTGCTTAGAAATTAAGCCACTGAGAAGAGTAATTGCCTGTTCTTTCCCATCCAGATTCAGAGAAAGGATTGGGAAGAAACAGCATTTCTTCACCTAAAACCAAGTGGTAACAGTTTAACTACTTGCCCCAGGTAAGACATTTTCTCTCAGGGAGATAACTACACCCTGATACCCTGGAAAAGGGCTGACCTGAAAAAGCCTGAAGGGATTGGAGAGCCCAAAATAGGGACCGGCAGGCTAGTGGTACATATTTGTGACCAGTTCCCTGCCATATTTGGGATTGTTACAGATGAAAATACCTAACCTGATATCTGTAAATATGTGTGCTTGTTTATATGTCATTGTGTGATGTCATTGTGTCACTTACCATTGGTTAGTACTTACCATTAGCCCCGCCTTCTCTGTATATAAGTTCTTGCTCCTCCCAGATTAGTGCCTGTCTAATTGTGTTCCTGAGGAAGAAAAGAAATAAATATTACTATTACAAGAAAGCCTACAGTCTCTTATATATGGGCCTAACCAGGATAATCAAACTAGCAACAAATTGGTAGCAAGAGGATGGTTTGGTAGGCCCAACCGAACATAAAGATGCAAGACTCACATAACGACAAAAGAAGACCTGCCACCAGATACATAACGAAAAGAATGGCAGCTCAACTAACTCCTGACAAATATACACCACTTGAAAATATTAAGAAACAAACGCAATTACAAGAAAATGAACTGCTAACACCAAACAAAGAAGATGAGGTAAAAAGAAAAATACTAGAATTAATAGAAACAACTACAGCTGAATCAAATCTGCTTGTGAAAATCCGCAGCATAATAAACGACCACGGAACAGCAGCAGATAACGAAAATAACAAACAAGAAAACTGCAAGGTAAGAAATTCAACCCCTGACTTCAAAAATGACACCAAAGATGGCGACAGCTTCCCGCTTTTTTCATGGCAGCCATCTTACCCACCTAATACCTCTAAAAGCCCTGACCAATTACTAAAAGAATTCCAAACCTCAAACTACGAAATAAAAAACAAAACCTACCAAGAAGATGATTACCCGAGTCCAAAAACAAATAAAAAACAATTATTTAAACAAAACAAAGCTCAACCTACTGAAGTAGAAATAGACAATGCTATACAGGTGCTAACTGCAGCACTCGGGACTAAACTAACAATATCAAACAAACAACCAGAAAATGAAATAGAAAATTCTAAACTACCATCTACCAAAGGCCAAAAAGAAATAGACTGTCTAAAGAAAGGCCTAGCCACCCGAAGAAAGACAAGCTGGCAATCATACTTACCTACTGAAGAGCAGCTCCCTGAACAACCCGGCTCCATTGGCAATGGCGGCCCGCCTCAAGCTCCACTTACTGACGACCTCAGAGAAGACTCCCCGATGAGCAGAGCAGCACCCCAGGCATTCTTCAGTCACCAGAGGCCCTCCGGAAACAAAGCAGAGCAACAGAAGGCCGTCTGGGACTTCACCCCAGGAGCTGCAGACACAGGAACCTCCCTCATCGACTGCTGGAGAAAAATGAGGACTGAGCATGCCCAGAACGAGCCTGCAAAGAAAGAAGAAGGAAACATAAATACAAGTCAGCGCAACATAGAGATAAGTAAATACAGACATACATCTACCATACCCAGGCCTTATTGTGAGTATGCTAAGGTCTTAAATCATGGACAGCTACTAAACATGAATAACACCTCACTACACTCAGGGACAATACCTCCAGACTTTATAAAATTGAAATTAGATGGAAGCAACTTAATGGAATGGGATCAGTGTTTACAGATTGTATATATGAAAGAAAATGTTTTATTTTTTATTGATAACCCACCAAATAAGCCTTGGACCTATGAAATAGACTGCCTCCACCACAAAGCATACTATATGTTAATTGTTTCTATTTCCCCAAGTATACTCCCCAGTATAGAGCATAATTTAACTGTATTTGAAGTATATCAAAAATTATTCAGACTGTTCTATAGCAAAAATGTAGCCACTACCACAAAAATCTCTAGGGAATTCTATTCTGCCAAACTAAAACATGATACATCCATGAGTGAGCATATCTTGAATTTAAACGCTGTAAGAGCAGACCTTATTCAAAGGGGAGAAACCATTTCTGACAACACCATGAAAAGCATTATAATTAACTCACTAGATCACAGCTGGGATAACTACATTACACTAATAGATAACCTAAGTATAGAGCAAATTACTTTAGAAAACCTTACCAATAAGCTTATTACTGAAGATAGACTTAGAAGAGAGCGATATACACAACAAAGAGAAGGTAGAAATCAAAGAAGGACTGATTTCAGGGCCAGAGACAGATACCCACATGAATGTCTCACATGTGGATCTGAAAGACATCAGAGTAGAGACTGTCCCAAGAATATAGGATACAGTGACTCATATAAACACAAGGATAGAAGAATACACTTTTTAGACAGAACCTCCCCAGATTACAGGTATAAGAGAAGAGAATCACCACACTCTAGAGAAAGACAAACATACAGAAATAACCCTAGAGAAAATAAGAAAGGATCACTATATGGAATAAGAAATAATAACACTTTGATATCTGATTCACTCAACACCTGGCTCATAGATTCAGGAGCCACATGCCATACAACTCATAATAGAGAAATATTAAGTAACTTCACTGAAAAGAAATATTATATTAAAGTAGCAAACCAAAATAGAGTCCTAGTGAGAGGAATAGGAGACACGCATATAAAAGGTATAGGAAAAATAGAGGGGGTACTATTTGTGCCCGAAATTCCAAATAACATATTGGCAACCCTAAAGTTAAGCTTAGACAATGCAATAGAAACCACTTTCAGAGGTGGAAAGGTATTCATGACTAAGAACAACAGAAACATAGGTAAACTATTTACAAATGATGGACTAACATACCTACTGCCACAAGATAACGAACTAGTCTATGCAAACTATCAATTAAGAAACAAAAAACCAAATTCAGATAGCCATGATGAAAATAATGATAAGAATGCATCAAACACTGATACTAATATGTCTGAAAATTTAAACAATGGAAAACCTATTCACGATAATTGTAGTCACTTACTCCACAGAAAGCTAGGACACGCGAGCTTTCCAGTCATACGAAAAATGTTAGAGTGTTCCGAAGATTTAAAAATAAAGAACTGTAAAAATTACTTAGAATGCTCTGTATGCAATTCTTCCAAAATTAAAAACAAGCCAAAACCCAAAAAAGCCACCCGCACCACACAATCAACCTTTCAACTAATTCATATGGATGTAGTAGGCCCATTAAAACCTTCAATTAAATACAAAAAAAGATACTTCCTGACCATAGTCGATGACTATAGTAGATTTGGTTTTGTATACACCCTTAACCACAAAAGTGAGGTTTTCAAAAAATTTAAGGAGTTCTTTAAAATGGTAGAAACACAATACAATACCAAAATCAAACAAATAATGACTGACAGGGGGTCGGAATTCCTATCCAACGAATTTTCAATTTGGCTAAAATCACAAGGAATATTGCACTTTAAATCTTGTCCATTTTCCCCATTCCAAAATGGAGTCTCTGAAAGGAAGAATGGTTTGCTACAAACCATGGTTAAATGTGTGTTAGATGATGCTGGTTTAAACCAGTCATTCTGGGCTGAAGCCCTTAATTATTCCAATTACACTATAAATCGCTTATGGTCCAGTACAATCAATAAGACCCCATACGAACTCATGTATGGAAGGAAACCAAAAATTGGGCATTTACACGTATTTGGTGTATCTGCTGATGTATATGTGCCCTCACAGTTAAGACGCAAAGGAGAGAAAGTATCCAAAAGACTGATATTTATGGGGTACGAATCAGGAACCAAGGGATATCGCTTCATTGATAAAAATAATCACTTCATTGTATCCAGATCTGCCGTGTTTCATGAACACATGAACTGGTCAAAATTACATCTCAATGAAATTTACCCAGAATCAAAAAAATATTACACACACGCACGCAAAACATCACACATCAGATACGAACCCCAAATCCACATCTACTAACAGAATCAAATGCCCAGTAATAGTTAATGATGAATGGAAAAAAGGACACCCCACTTTGAAAGTAGATCAATTAACCGAAAAAGAAGCTAAGTATATGCATAGCGATGAACATCCCCAGAATAGGCCCATTAGATCCAATAGGGGCATAATTCCTAAAAGATTAGATGATTACGTACTGTCTATCCAAGCTAAACACCTGACTCCTAACACATATGATGACATACTTAAGCTACCCCTAGAAGAAAAAAGTAAGTGGGAGGAAGCAATGAAAAAAGAGATGGACAGTTTGAGAGAACTAAATGTATATACACCAACAGACCTGCCCACTGAGAAATCCCCTATTGGCACTAGGTGGATCTATAAAATCAAGGAGCTAGAGGATGGTAAATTCCTATACAAAGCCAGGTTGGTGGCTCAAGGCTTTGCCCAAAGATTTCCGGATGACTATGAAGACACTTATTCCCCAACCGTTAGATCAGAAAGCGTGAAAACAGCACTAGTGTTAGCTTCTATCTTAAATCTGGAAGTATATCAATTTGACGTGCAGACAGCCTATCTGCACGCTGATCTAGATAAAGAAATTTATGTGAAAGCACCCCCAGGAAAGGATACAAAAAAGGGAGAAATTTGGCTATTAAACAAGAGCCTTTATGGACTAAAACAGTCCGGTAAGCGGTGGTATGAGTGCTTATCAAAGATACTTAAAAATATGGGTTTTGTAGCTACTTCATCTGATTTTTGTTTTTTCACAAAAAAAAATAATGATTCTATTGAATATGTTTTGATTTATGTTGATGATATATTGTATTTTGGACACGACAAAATTAAATGTGATAATTTCGCTGAACAACTAGGCAAAAATTTCAACTTAAAAATATTAGGAAAGGTAAATAAGTATCTAGGAGTCCAAATTGACAAAACAGATAAGGGGTTCAAATTATCTCAGAAAGACAAGATTATGGAACTCATACAAAAATGTAATTTAATTAATTCAAAAATTTGTGATACTCCTATGTCAACTGATTTTTATAGGAATGTGTATAATGAGTACGAACCATTCAAGGATAACACGTTATATCGATCAATTATTGGGTCCTTATTATACATATCTAATTGGACCAGGCCTGATATCACCCTTGCTGTAAATTTGTTGTCAAGACATGTAAGCAATCCTAACTCATACCACTGGGAAGGAATTAAGAGGATTCTAAAATATCTAAAGTCTAGCATTGATATGTGCTTATTCTTAGAACCATTCATTTCTGAAAAACCAACTTTGACCTGCTACGCTGATGCTGATTGGGCTACTGATTCAAAAACCAGAAAAAGTACTTCTGGATATGTTTTTCTTATAAATGGCTGTGCGGTGCACTGGTACACAGGCAAACAGAATTTAATTGCCACTTCCACAGCGGAAGCCGAATATGTTTGTTTATCCAAAGCGGTCAACAATCTAACTTGGTTCGATGACTTGTTAACCAATGTGTGGGATGAACCTGTTTATCCAATTATTATCAATGAGGACAATAAGGCAGCAATTGATATATCAGCTTCCGAAGCAATAGGTCAACGATCTCGACATATCGATATAAAATATAAACATGTAAGACAACTGTCAAGTATAGGATTTATTAAAGCTATCCATTGCAATACTAGTGAACAAATTGCTGATATCCTCACTAAGCCATTGCCAACCAAACAACATATGTATTTGACTTCCAAACTTGATGTGCATATATAATCTTAATAACCCACCATTAGTTAGGTATTTTAGAGGGGGATTTGTTACAGATGAAAATACCTAACCTGATATCTGTAAATATGTGTGCTTGTTTATATGTCATTGTGTGATGTCATTGTGTCACTTACCATTGGTTAGTACTTACCATTAGCCCCGCCTTCTCTGTATATAAGTTCTTGCTCCTCCCAGATTAGTGCCTGTCTAATTGTGTTCCTGAGGAAGAAAAGAAATAAATATTACTATTACAAGAAAGCCTACAGTCTCTTATATATGGGCCTAACCAGGATAATCAAACTAGCAACAGGGATATGACTCATACTTAACATTTTAAGCCAAAACAGTTTAAAAAGGAGCTAACGCTGAAACTCTTTCTGCCCAACCACACATATGAATGATAGTAACCTGTAGAGTTTATATATAGTATTTTTTTTAAATTTCAGATCTTTTAAGGTGTCATGAAAACATTCAGTTACCATTCCAAACAATAGTGCCAGAGTTTCGAAATCAATCCATGCCACTACTTTGATCAAGCTCGGCTTCTGCAATTAAAGAATATAATTATCACTGAATCACATTGATATTTTTATCTGGTCATTGAGTCTTGGAAATTCAAACTCTATTTTAAAAAACAATTTCTTAAAGAAAACAACTCAATATTTTTGAGAGGAACCCAGATTGGAAACCTCTTTGTATTGGTAAAGGTAAAATGTAATGGGGTTTATTTATAACAATATTGATCATAAATTAAAATAAATGAAAATAAATAAAAATTCTATAAGCACATGCCTTAGTTTTACTGACAAAAATACTAGTAGCATTTGAAAGAATATAGAGAGAAACAGTTGAAAAAAAATAAAACAAGGGCAAAAAGGCAATTTTTTTAAAGTAGCATTTTTCAAAATATCTGCAGTGATGGGCTGCTAAATGAACATCTGGACAATATGTGGATCATATAAAGAAATAAATATTTTTCAGTCCGCAAAATTGGTGGGGGGTTGGCAATTACATAATAGCATTGTTGTGTACCTTCCCATCCCGTCCATTTTTAAAGTCTTTCTTGAAATTCAATTTTGAACTAGCTTCTCAAAAAAGTAAGTGTTTATTACTTTGATCAACCGGTTTTCAACCAGTGATCCATTTGTGGAAACAAACTGAGTGACAAGGAGCATGGGGAATTGGGGGTTGCAGCAATGAGCGAGCTCTGCCCTAGTCAGCCAACTGGCAGCCAATTGTGCCTGACAGCCAAATGGAACTCTATGATAGATAATTTGTACATTCCCAGGGACCACCAGAGGCTCCCAGGCCACATTTTGATAATTCCTGTTGTAAAATTGTCTGCGCATTATGGAAACTGAGAATGAATGAGCTGTAAAGATGAGAAAACAATGCCAGCAGAAAATAACCACTAGTCATTCATGAGTGAACATCCAAATAGAGCATGATTTTTTTTTCCTTATCAGAAAAAAGCAATGCGTAATTTCCCCCTCATTTAAAAATGCAAGCAATGTTTTGTTTTTTGTTTTTGAGTTATGATATCATGAAGCAAGTTTCAATCTTCGGGCATCTTTGTGGCTAGCCATGGATGCCTCCTCAAATAATGGCTTTGATGTTTTGACAAATGAGAATCAGCTGTATCTCTGGTGATCTCAGGAACAGGCTTTACTGTTTTGTTTGCTGAGCCTTATCAACAGATTTGTTGTAAAGAAAGGAGAGCTGAACTAATGCTATGTGCACAGAGAACACGGGAATCAAACAGAGTTAAGGCTAAGGGTAAAACAGCTGAACCCTAAAAATCAGCAAATTTCTATTCCAGTGCCATCATTAATATTTGTGACCTATGTCTTCAAACTAGATGAGATTTCTTTTGAATGCATTTTGAAATTGATTCTGCCTTTTCCCACTGTACCTATAAAATTATTTTCATGGTTCCTATCTTGGTTGACATGTTTTCTTATATATCTTTTTGCAGTGTTGTGTCCTTACTAATCTGGGAGTTTAAGTACAGATGGCTTCTTTAGGCAAAGACACGTACTATTCATGGCACAGCAAAGTTAAACCAGAATCTGTAGCCAAAAGTTCTGAATAATACAGATAGGAGAGCTTGCTACTTACATCACCAATTGCAGCTAAGGCAGCCAAGGCAGCCAAAGATCCCAACATTGCAGCTAATGTCCTGTGGACAATCTGTAGCAAAAGTAATGGACAATTTTGTAACAGAGTCTTTTGCAAAATTAAAATTCAGTTATTCAAACATTATATCTCCCACAGTCTTTCTCCAATAGGTCTTCAGTATGATACAAAGATCTACTCACAATCACACAGCATTGTTTAGAGACACAGTTACTGCAGTGGTGAAATCCAAATTTTTTTACTACCAGATCTGTGGGCGTGGCTTGATGGGCATGGTGTGGCTTGGTGGGCGGGACTTGGTGGGCAGGGCAGGGGAAAGATACTGCAAAATCTCCATTCCCACTCCACTCTAAAGGAAGGATATTGCAAAATCTCCATTCCCACTCCACTCTGGGGCCAGCTAGAGGTGGTATTTGCCAGTTCTCCAAACTACTCAAAATTTCCACTACCGGTTCTCCAGAACCTGTCAGAACCTGCTGGATTTCACCCCTGGGTTACTGTATTCAGATTGACTCCTGGCTTAACTGTACAGGTAAATCAGGCCATTAAACTGCAATACATCCCTCTTTTTCTGAGTTTACAGGAAAATGCATGATTTAACCATGCAGAGTCAGGTTCAAATCAAATTTCAATTGCTCATTACAACAGCTAGATAGCCTTTTGTATAAATATTTCTACCAAGAAAACAAACCTTTTCATTGAATTTTTATATAGAGGATGCCACCATTTATAAATATTTTAAAATAAAGGAGCAAGGTAGAAAACCTCAGTAAATATCTCAGTGGTAGCTTGTTTAATGCATCCTTCATATTGGGGCTACAAATTGAATTGGTGTCATACCATTAAAGGGAGTAATTCCATTAAAGAAAATGCAACAACAAAAGATTTTATATAATTGAAATTCTCTGTTATCATTGACCTCTGTTCATATGAAAGACAGGATATAAATAAATAAGTAAATTAAATAAGTACATTAAATATGATCTAGCAAAATATTATTCAGAAGAAACTATTTCACAAAATCTATTTACTGCTAACAGTACTAGAATATGTTTGGATATCCAGAAAAAAATAAAACAACCTTTGTAATTCTCTCCATTTATTTCTATTTCAATGTGGGGGGCAGAGTAAAAGAAAAGGGGTTTTTTTATGTATTTATTACCACTGGAATGGAAATTTTAGAATTACTACATTGCAATCAATAAGAGAGAGATTGAAATGACACATCACATCAACTCTTGATTAGCACATCAACGCTGCATATTTTGCTTCCTGGTTGCCAAATATTGCCAAATATATGAACATATGAATAGCTTAGCATGGTTGCCAAATATTGCCAAATATATGAATGGCTAATGAGAACATGTTTAAGTAGACCATGCAACATAGCTGTTGATGAATGTGCTAAATATTGTCCCAACAGCATAAATTCTTCATCAGTCTGAATAGAATAGAATAGAATTCTTTATTGGCCAAGTGTGATTGGACACACAAGGAATTTGTCTTAGGTGTATATGCTCTAAGGAGAATAAAATACATTAATCAAGAATAAAAAGATACAACACTTAGTGATAGTCAAGGTTACTAATAAGCTATCAAATCATACTAGGAAACAAATAAACAGTGTAAATTGAAAGATACAAGCAACATAGTTATAGTAATAAGTGGAAAGAGATAGATACTAGGAAGGAAGAGAAGAATAATAGTAATACAGTCTTAGTAAATGATTTGACAGTGTTGTGGGAATTAGTTGTTAAGCGGAATGATGGCATTTGGGAAAAAAAAACTGTCCTTGGGTCTAGTTGTTTTGGTGTGCAGTGCTCTAAAGCCTCGTTTTGAGGGTAGAAGTTGAAACAATTTATGTCCAGGATGTGAGGGGTCTGTAGGTATTTTCACAGCCCTCTTTTTGACTCATGCAGTATACAGGTCCTCAGTGGAAAGCAGGTTGATAGCAATGGTTTTTTTCTGCAGTTCTAATTATTTGTTGAAGTCTGTGTTTGTCTTGTTTGGTTGCAGAGCCAAACCAGACAGTTAATGTAATATATATCAATAATTATTCTCCCGAGAGACAAGGGGGCACTTTATAACAGAAGGTTAAATGCTTACTTACATATATGCTTAGGTTATAGAACAGACAAGAATCTCCATGCAAAGTTAGCACGCTATGGGAAGGAGATGTATAACAGCTACATACCCTCTTGAGGCACAGCTAGAGTCAAATGAAACACATAAATAATTTCCATGCACTTTGGTTTTACTTGATTACAAGCAGAGGAAGGATCCTTGCCAGAACAAGTACAAGAATGTATCTTTCTGTTCCAGGATGACTGGAATGAAAACACACACCTGCCCCATGCATCAAACAGTATTAGAAAAATAACCCACACTGTCACAAATTATTGTCGCTAATGTGAGGTTATTTTCTAAGGATCCCAGACATGTGAAAATCATCAGTTTATTTGTTTTGGGAAGGAAGGGGAGAAATTCTCCTTCTAGATGCCATGTTTCTATTAAGGCTTTTCCTTTCTCTCCTATAATTAGTTAAATATGTGGGAAATAAAGAGATTTTCACACCACCACTGTTTTCATTTCCCAACTCTCAAAAGCCGTTTGAAGGCAAGCTGTGATTGTCTTCACTTCTGGAGACCTAATAAGCTGAGAACAACTGAAAATTATTACTTTTATGCTGAGTCCCACAACTGCAAAAATCCCTTCATGTCTCACTCTACATAAAAGGGAAAGAAAGAAAAGGTTTTTAAAAACATCAATAATATGGCATTTTGTAGGGTCCTTCTTGCTTGGACTGCCCTGAAACTATATGTAAGGAAAGGAAAAAATACCACTAATGGAGAAACAAGGCACAACATTTCAAACAAAAACAACAACAACAGGTATAGCAGTTTTGATTAGCCCAGAGATGAATCGGAAACAAAACATCTCAGTTTTACAGAACTGCTGATCTCACTGGAATTCAGAAGACCAAAACTGCTTCCGAAGTGGTGTACAATCTATGTTACAAACCAGGCTGACAACAAAATGATGTCCCTCCAGGAGATGTTCATACTTGTGTGGAAGTGTGCATCAATTCCTATCATATAAAGGATAATATTTTACCTTTATTATAGGGATGATATTAACAGCCATCATAGGCAATATTTGGCTAAATGGAACAGAAAATCCTTAGAAGATGGAATAGTATAACATGCTTTCTGTGTGTGTATTATTATTATTATTATCATTATTCATTAAATATGAAACTCAATCAACTGAACATTCAAAAATGCATCACAAATACCATTGACTGGTGCTAATGGTTGATACGGGTTGCTGCCAGCATCCTAGGTATCAACCAAATACCTTCTTAAGATGTACGATGTTCCAAGTAGCACAGTTTTTTGCAGTTCCGCTGGTGTTATTGCAGGAAGCTGCAATTTGCTGATGTATCTTATAAAATTCTTGGACATGGTACCAAGTGCCCCGATGACAATGGATATCACTGTTTCATCCATAGTCGTGTAGTTTTGATGGCCAGGTTGCGATATTTCATGATTTTTTTTTCCAGTTCTTTTTCTTCAACTATGGCGTCTCCTGGTACCACAATGTCAATAAATTGTACGCTTCAGTTTTCGACAACTGTGATATCTGACGTGTTGTGTTCCAAATGACGATCTGTCTGTATTCAAAAGTCCCACAAGAGCTTCACCTTCTCATTTTCTATAACTTTTTCCATGTTATGTTCCATGACTTTTTGGATACAGGAAAGTCGTATTTTTTACATAATGACCAGTGGACTAATTTAGCAACTCGGTCGTGTCTAGCTTTGTAATCAGTTTGTGAGATTTTTCTGCATTCACGTATTAAATGTGAAACAGTTTCAACTTTGTTGTTGCAAAGTCGGCAGTTTGGATTGTCGGTGGATTTTTGTATCTTTGCTTTCATGCTTTTTATTATTATTATTAAATTCATATGCCACCCATCTCACCATCGAAGTGACTGTGGGCAGCTTAAACCACCATAAAAGCAAGAATACAAAAGCATTAATAACTTTAAAATTAACAGGGACTGGAAGTAGGAACCAGTATAGGAGTGGGATGGAGATGGGATTGTCTTTCTTAGTCCATTAGGCACTTCCAGCATGGAATGCCCCAGGGGTGAAATCTAATTTTTTTTGCTACCGGTTCTGTGGGCGTGGCTTAATTAGTGGGTGGGGCTTGGTGGTAAAGTGACTGGAAGGGCGTGGCTTGTTGGTCAGGTGGGCGTGGCCAAGTCAATGTCACTTCTTTGCCCTTTTTAAACCTACAAAACACAACACAACACAACTGGCTCACCCACAATATAAAAGCAACTGTGCTAGACCCAAAATGGCCCCTGCAACAAATAGAAACCTCACACAGCCACAAAAAGCCCAAAAACCCAACTTCCACACTTTACACACATACAACACAACACAACACAACTGGCTCACCCACAATGTAAAAGCAGCTGTGCTAGACCCAAAATGGCCCCTGCAACAAGCAGGAACCTCACACAGCCACAAAAAGCCCAAAAAACCAACTTTCACACTTTACACACACAAAATTCCACATACAGCTTTGTGAGATTTTGTGTGATTGTGTAGTTAGAGTGAAACACTACAGAAACACACTAAATCTCAGAAAGCTGCACAATTATTTTATTTTATTTTATTTTTATTTTTATATAAAAGCAGCTAAATTTAAAACTTCCTAAACTTTAAATGGCTAGGTCTAAAAAAAGAACAACTAAAAAAAAAATCCCAATTAACTATTTTTTTAAAGCTCCCAAAGGGGAAAAAAACTTACCCAATTGAACAGGGGTCTCCAACCTTGGCAACTTTAAGACTTGTAGACTTCAACTCCCAGAATTCCTCAGCCAGCAAAGCTTTGCTGGCTGAGGAATTCTGGGAGTTGAAGTCCACAACTCCCTGCCTACTTGATTGCAGGCAGGGAGATTCAGTTGCTTGCTGATGCAATCGAGGGATTACAGCAAGGCGTTGCGACCAGTAGCTAAAGTAAGCAAGCTGAGGGGGGGAGGGG